AACCCTGAACGACCCTGAAAGTTACTGAGTAGATGCATCCATGATCCGTCGAACTTGCGGAAGCCAAGCGCACCTGACAGCGGGGCGTGGGTTTTGGGAGGGGGGGGGGGGTACCATATATATATATACACACACACAGATTCAAACACATCAGAACCGAAACCCCGACCACCTCGAACCCCAAGTCCTGGACCTGGGTTTATTCGCAGCTCCAAGTCCCACCATGTGTGGTTCGGGCCGGTGGTGTATGTGGACATAACCAGTACGAAGTCAAATTGAGCTGAAACTCCCATGAACCATGCAACTAATTGCATTGGCCGTAGTGTTGCTTGATTACGAACCATCTGTCAAGACCCGCTTGTTGATATGTGGCAGGACCAGAAGCCGGGCACCAAGAAGTGCGGCCACATGGGCGGCAAGGTCCTCGTCTCCACTCAGGAGATGTGGCAGCTTGTGTAATCAGCCTTTCTTGAGTTGTCTTGGCGATCTAGAGCATCAAGTCGCGCGCCTGAGAAACTCTTTGCCTTAAAGCCTGAGTGTATTGACTTTCGACGTTCTTTCGATCCGTGATTCAGCCTATTTGTCACGGAAGGTCCTCGAGGGCGGGGGTTGACAAGATCTTAGTCAGTCAGCATGTTTGATCCCCCTGAGCCTCGAAAGAGCCCGTGACCTGTATCGTGCATCCGAGAGGCACTCAATTATCGGACCTTGGTTGGGAAGTGCTTTTCACTTTCTTATGTTCTTGGACGACCAAGAGGCTGGTGCTGCAATGTGGCACTGCCTGTGCAGGAGCACATTCAGCGCCTGATTGCCATCCGTCTGCAGGCCTCGTGCTTTGCTCCGGCATGCGTTCCTTCAGACATCTCCAAACCCTAAGTACGGTTTTTAGTCCTGAACAGTAGAGGGTGATGCTGCTGTCACTTTCCCAGCCGACTTCCGAAGCCCGGATGCACAGAAGTCTTTAGAGCACGACGCTTGACTGCGACAATGCTACTCGGGGCTGTGTAGGCTTGGTGAAGTTTACGAGCATTGAAAGGATGTTCTTTTGGGTTCTGCAATCTCGGGTAGACAGAGCTGTCACGGCAGTATTGCGGAGTTAGGCAAGGCAGCCTCTGCCAGTAGGCAATGCTGGCAGCCGGATTCTTTCGAGCTGTTCCGAAAGTGCAGTGGCTTCTTGCGTGCCGGGGGCTGGTTGTGCTGGACTCGTCACAGTTTCAGCGCATAATCGTCAATGAAGGCCACACCAGCAAGGCCTATGCTGGTGACCTGCTTGCCGGCATGAGTTTGGCGAGGCGTGGGGTGATGCTCGAGACTCTCGCAAAGTGGATGCTCCAGCGAGCACATCCCGCTCATTCGGTCGGAAATGCCGACATGCAACCGCTCGGAACATGTGTCAATGGCAGCAGCCGCTCAGTTTCTCAATCGGAATGGGATTGGATTTTCATGAACAGGCGTGTGGAGCTGAAGAGTTCTCAGCTTAGCTTTGATGCTTCGTCAAAGATGTCTTGGAGGGTAGCATTTCATGGGGTCAAGCTTTCCTGGGGCGGTTATCGTGGAGATCAGCCTTTTGATGATTTATTTCTGCTGATTTACTCGCCGGGCGGTTTTCATCTTCTCAAGCATGATCTGAAAACAGGGTTTCATACAATGGGAGTGCGGACCGAATCGCAGGGATACGGTCTTAAGGTGGATGCAAGACGCGGACAGACCTGCTGGGCAGAAGCCTTACATTCAATTCTGCACAAGTTGATGTCAAAAGGTGGCTGTGAGCTGATAGATTATGCCGCAAAATCCGATCCATTGGTTCAGGATTTCTATACGCAAGTACGAGAGATGATGGCATCCACTACAAGCCTGGCCTACGAGGGTGTACCTATGAGCACGATGAATCCAGTCATTCGTGGTTTGAGAATACAGGAAATCGCTTGCGAGATTGATAAGCTTCAACATCCAGGAAATTCTTGGCAGAGCGCGGGAGGTGAGATCTGGCGAAACGGCCACAGGCGAGGAGTATCAAATGCTGCTGTAGATTGGATACGCGATGGAGTTCGGGTGGAGGCCAAGATGGCGACGTTGTCGTTTGTTCCTGCCCACAATTCGTGGGGCTGCAACTTCACTAACATCAAAGTCGGCAAGGCGTATTTTGATGAGCTCTGGCTTGCGATTTACCATCCGGCGGGCATTGAGTTTTTCAAGCACTGGAACTGGCAGGCGAGGCTGCATAGCTGTGGCACTCGTACTTCTGCTCTGGGCAGACGACTTTTTTACCGTGCAAGCACTCGGGATCAGTCTCCGAGCGAGGCCCTCCAAACAATCAAGGCCAGGCTTGAGGGAGATGGAGCCGAGCACCACTGTACGATTAAGTGGGCTGCAACATGACAGTTGCACCGAAGGCCCAGTTGCGCCCAAGAGTCGCGCCGGTTGGCCACATGTTGCCATGCAGTCTGCATGTTCAGGCAGGCTTCGAGCAGGAAAATGCATTGATCGGCAGCTGCAGCATACAGCCGGGAACATTGCATGCTCTCAAGCACAAGCAATGCGCTGCTCCCATTGGCAAACTCCCGTGCAAGCCACTGCTGAAGCAACTGCGACAGCGACGCAGCAGTCATGTTGGACAGAGTACGTGTTTGGCGTGGGCTCTTAGGAAATGCAATTTCTAAATTCCTGTCCTCTGCCCTTTGTGCTCCCGCCCGTCATGGTCTGCATGGAAAAAACATTCTCCCAATAATGGCCCAATATGTAGACTTCATGCGTGGAGCCGAACAAGCATGTTGCGCCCCTGGCTGCAAAAAAACATGCAGGTTCAAAGCTATGGATCCCAAACAGTCTGCCCCCCGAGCGGAAGAGGATTTCTCAATATCTCAGCATAAGCAGGGCTGTGATGCCAAATGTTACAACCTCCACAACTCTGTGAGGGCCCTACGATTCGGCCCCCTCTAAAGCCGGGCCGAGCTTCTCTGAATGTCGAAGGCGGATGTCCTGAACTCGCCCTTGGTCCTCGTTGCACGCACAGATGCCGAGGCTGTGTGCGGAGCTTTGGGAGAGTTGGAGCTTCGGACTTGTTGGTAAGCGAACGTCTAGAGTCTAGCTCAAATCGGGGATGTTGGATGCCATGGCTTTGGCCTGCTTAGACTGTCAGGAAAGGCTGCCGGAATTTTCCCGACCCGCAGAAGCCCGCATTCCCGAACCGCAACTGCCGGCAGGCTGCCACGATGATCGACTCCAACATCGTGCTGCGGCTTCGTTAGTTTTTTGCGGTGCATGGTTCAAAGCTTAGGAGTGAGTTGAAGCCAAGGTCTGGGGCGCTGAGCTGTGATTGGGTATTGCTGTTTGGGCATTTTGCACAGAGGCTGCACTTCCAGGACTTTCGTCGTGGACCAACCAACATAGTTAACGGCGAGTCTTAAGGATGTGCTTGTAGAATCTTGTAGGTATCAGCCAATCAGGATGATGTGGCTGTGTGCGAGGTTGAGGTGTCCATTGGTCATTTGTCCACGCATGCCCCGGATACTGACACGATATTTAGATGCCACGAAGTACAACTCATCCTTCGAGGTTAAACATCACGAGCCGGGCTTGAAGTCTTGAGCCGCTACTTGTACATGGCTTTACATGATGCCTGAGGTTGATGTGTTTATGCTACGTAAGTCCAGAGTTATCCGAGACTTTAATACCGTTTCAGCCACACCGATGAAGCACCTTGACAAAGCTGCCAAGATGCTATCGCCAGCCAAGGATCCGGTCGACCATCCCCACATCAAGGGTGCCACTGTCAAGGGTGTGGAGAGCCTCTACGAGGCCATGCGCAAGGGCACCGACAAGGACTGGGAGGAGCGATCCGGCTGCATGACCTTCCCG